GGGGGTGATCCTGTAAAGGAAAGAATGAATGGGGCCATGTATCGTGAGATTTTGAGTGAAAACCTCCTACCATCAGCAAGGGCATTGAATATGAAACGTGGCTGGGTCTTTCAGCATGACAATGATCCCAAACACACCGCCCGGGCAACGAAGGAGTGGCTTCATAAGAAGCATTTCAAGGTCCTGGAGTGGCCTAGCCAGTCTCCAGATCTCAACCCCATAGAAAATCTTTGGAGGGAGTTGAAAGTCCTTGTTGCCCAGCGACAGCCCCAAAACATCACTGCTCTAGAGGAGATCTGCATGGAAGAATGGGCCAAAATACCAGCAACAGTGTGTGAAAACCTTGTGAAGACTTACAGAAAACGTTTGACCTGTGTCATTGCCAACAAAGGGTATATAACAAAGTATTGAGAAACTTTTGTTATTGACCAAATACTTATTTTCCACCATAATTTGCAAATAAATTCATAAAAAATCCTACAATGTGATTTTCTGGATTTTTTTCCCTCAATTTGTCTGTCATAGTTGACGTGTACCTATGATGAGAATTACAGGCCTCTCTCATCTTTTTAAGTGGGAGAACTTGCACAATTGGTGGCTGACTAAATACTTTTTTCCCCCACTGTATTTCACATTTTGTAATAGGCATACATTTGCCAATTAGGTTATTGATGCAAAGTGACTGAGGAATATATTAACAGTAGCCTATTGATATGGAGCCCATTCCTTATCTACCTTATTCCATCTAGCTGTATAATTATGTGAATTCTGAATTGGTCCATGTCTGCCTAAGCATATGTGAAGGAGAGAGAGAGGGAGAGAGAGGGAGAGAGGAGAGAGAGAGAGAGAGAGAGAGAGAGAGAGAGAGAGAGAGAGAGAGAGAGAGAGAGAGAGAGAGAGAGAGAGAGAGAGAGAGAGAGAGATGGGAGGGGCGCGAGGTACCAAATGGTATGTTGAGCGTCAGGAGCACGTTCGCTTGACCGTGAGAAGTGAAAGTTCATGAAAGTGGGATGAATTAATTCCGATTGCTATCATAACTTTAGGATTAATTAATTTAATTTTAGTTGACGCTTTCGTGGTGATTGTGGTGTAATATGTGACCAGGGAGAAGCAGGAGTTTACACCTACGGAAGGTATTGCCTTGTATACTTTTAATCTAACATATTTACCTGGCAAATAATTCATAATGCAACACACAACCAGGTTGTTACAGAGGCCATAGGATGTGAGTGGATTATTGCAATAGGGTATGAAATGTTTTTTATTGAACTCATTTGTAATTTGCCACTGTTTGTAAGTTCGTTTGTATGCGATGTGCATGCTGAATATGATGTCGTGCATTCTATTCTAACTTGGATAATTTTCGAAACTTTCATTTTCTGTCCATTCATGGGCTCAAACAACTGTGTATTTATTACATTGGCATAACTGTTGCATTTGCACTTAGGCTGCTATCAGATGCTGGTGTAATGTTTCAGGAATTTTGAATTCATTATCTATATGTATACAAAATCTTCCAATGTTTCCTTATTTGGTTCACACACTTATAAATGATTGCGTTTCTTTCGAGTAACAGCATCACTTCCTGGTGCCAGGTATGAGTCATAGGATATTTATGTATAGACACTGTGAAACACTGCTTTGTCTGTTATCAAGCAAATGCTTAGGCCTACAAAAAAGCCACAACAGAATGGAATACATTTATAATAATGACATAATCTGCATAGCAATATGTTAATGCTACTTCATAGAAGTATCAATATCAACTGAAATTACTGAATGTCAATTCTTGTTTGCATGGAGTCTTTTTGTCCAGTGATTGTCATCTGTTGGCACCTCCATACAGCATAGACACTAATCCCATCACTCAACCAGTTTCACAGACACAGATCGGCACTTTCCATAAGAGATGTAAGGTACAATAAACAAACAATAGAACTGAATCTACCAATAACAGTGAGGCGGTCTCACCCTTATATTTTCCCTATGCATGGAAAGGCAATGCAGGGGGTAAGAGGAGTGAAGGGTTGTTATGTCACAAGTGGGCATACATAGGTACAGAATGCCAGCTGGGGACACCAGGCGCCTTTGAGGCCACAGGAAAGTGCCACACTACCAGCACAAGCTAATGGAGTATTCACTTCCTCTAGGAGACACAAAGGCCTGGAGTAGTTAGAGTCAGAACATGACCAGACAGACATGAAGATTGAATGTGGCTTTCATTTCCATTAGAATGAGGGATGAGGGGAAATGGGTGAGGGAAAGGAGAGATGATAGAGAGATGGAGTCAGGGTATCTCTTGCCAGGGATGTATTTTGTATCTGAATAATACTATGATGTAAATGGAAGGGGCATGAACGTAAGTGGAAAGCTGAGGAGTTTAAAAAAGGTAGAAGAAGAGATAGAGAGGAAGGATGGAAGAGAGTGTAGTGACTGAGGAGAGAAAAGAAAAGTGAAAGAGAGCATTTTGGTCAAAGCAACAAAAAAGTGTTGGGGGCTTTTGGAAGGAAAGTGGGCTGCTGGATTATGAATCCAGTGAACGGTGCAGGATACAATGCTGCTGGTTTTTCCTATCTGAAAAGAGGTGAAGAAGAATAGACAATTATCCATCACTAATGTAAGACATGATAAAGGCAAATGTGAGGGCAGATAAATGGTTATATATGTATGACATGTTTGATCTCAGGAGCACTGAATGTAATAGTTTTTACTGTGCACTCTGTAGACTTCCATTCCATTAGATTGATGGTGAGATTGCTTTGTGCAGAGACTCCATTGAGTAAGAAGAAATGCCATAATGCATTAGACTAGAAAATGGGAACAAAGGGGAGAAGAGTAAGATGTTCTAACTTCTGTGAGGCATTTTCCATCTGCTGTGCTCAGGCATTGTAACTTTGATCCACTTATCCACCCACACACAGTGCTGCTCAGCTCAACCCAGCTCACCTTAAGTACTGATACATTGCTGCAACAGTTTTAACTGCTGGTAAGATGACAGACAGTAAGTCTGACTTGGTTCTATTAACTTTTTTAAATCTATTTTCCCTCCCTCATTTTATTCCTACCGTATCACTCCATTCTAGTCCTCTAATGCAGCTCTTCCTATTACACACCCCCTTCATCCTCCCTTCTTCCCCCTCTCCCTCCCGTGTGCCATTCCTCTCATCACTCTGTCTTTCTGTGACCTCTCCATCATCCATCCACCTTCTTCTGTTATTGTTCCCTGTACCTCCTGAATCCTGCTGTTCCCACTCTCTACCAGTTGTGTGTGTGCCATCTATTGTATGTCTGTGTCGGTGAGAAACCTTCTACAGCGGCGGCGCTCTCTGGGTCCCGCCTCGCCTAAACGCGTCTACAGGAACCTGTCGGTTAGGCTGAGGGGCGGAGAGTCCTCTGCTGCCGGGGAGACAGGCATGCCGAAACATTCATGCAAGGCCACACCCACAGTAAGACATCCTGAGAGAAAATGACTTTTGCATCCATTTTGGGTGTTTTATCTTTGCTTTTCTCGAATTGTCTTAAATTGTTGTTCCATATTATCATCTAAAGTTACATTTTCTTCCTGCATTTTTCTGCCATGCCCATGAGGATGTACCCTCTTACCCTGTATCCCTCCATGTGCCTGTTTCTCACTCAATCCCCTCTCCTTCTCCTGTGTTAGTATAAGAACCTGTGGGAGGCAGTGGAGAATGAGGACACCCTGGCGGTGCAGAGCCTGCTATTCAGGGACAGAGTGTGTGGCGGAGGAGGAGGATGGGATACAGGGGAGAAGAAAGAGAAGGATTGGGAAAGAGAGAGGGAAAAGGGTGTAAACAGAGTGAGTGAGCAGGGCCTGGTACCTCTGGACGTGGCTGCTCTAACCCAGAACTCCCCTCTGCTGCATGTGTTGACAAAGGCAGGAGCCAGACACAACCCCGTCTGTGAGTCTTACACATTGACGTACATTGAATCAGTGCAATCAAGAGATGGCAAGTAACAGTTATACACATTTTACACAAACAATGGATCATCCAGTACATTAAGACATTATTCTTTTTGGGGTAGTGACTACTAGTGAGTGATCTTTAAATGTAATGTTTACAGATATATCTTGTTCCCACACTGTGTAAACAATGCAAAACATGTTTATTATCTCTCCCTCCCACTCTCTATCCTCTCTCTCTCTCTCTCTCTCTCTCTCTCTCTCTCTCTCTCTCTCTCTCTCTCTCTCTCTCTCTCTCTCTCTCTCCCTCCATCCCTTTCTCTCAGTGTGTGGTCCGGCTGAGTGGTTGTGCAAGCTGGATGCCCTGGTGGTGTTGGCCGGCAGGCAGGTGGAGGACAGGAGGGAGGAGCTACTGGTTCGAGCAGGGGCGGGGCCACATGTGCAGGCCGACATTCAGAGACAGCTCCACCTCTGGACCCTACGGCAGCAGCTGTACTGCAGGATGAGGGAGAGCTTCCACCACACAGGTCAGAGGCTAGGGGTCAGGGGTGATGAAGGACAAGTATGACGCACTCAACCCAGTCTCATTGATTTGTTTATGTTATGTACCTTTTGCTCCAAGGCTGTGTTTACTGTCGGTGTGTCTCTCCATCTCTCCGTGTCCCCTAGACCTCCCTGGCCCTCCCAGTAGTGTGTCACTGTTTGTGACCAGTGCCTCTTCCCTGTTTGTGTCCATTCGAGAGCCAACCGGTATCGCCACTGGATTGATCACACGCTACAGAGGTGGGGTTCTACTACTCCAACTCTAACATTGGCTCTAATCACTATTGCAATTATGACTCAGTACTCAATATCATAGATACATCCATGTCTCTGTCTCTTTTCCTGTCACCTACAGTGGAATGGAGCACCTCTGCCAACTTCAAGAGCATACTTGGCTCAGCCCAGGTGATCGACACTAAGACCCCCATCCATAGCATCACAGGACTCACGACAGTAAGACACACACGACCCCTGTCACATGTCCTGAGCCAGAACACCCTGAGGCTAGGAGGCACTTAACCTCAACTGTCTCAGTTACCTGCATAAATGAACAACTACTATGTTAAGTTATTTGCCCTGGTCTGCCTGTTCGTAAGGTTAAGTCATGATGTTAATGTATTGGTGTCTTAGGGAGTGCACTACTTTGTGAGAGTGGCCGCCTACAATGTGAAGGGATGGGGCCCAGCTCAGAGCTCCAGCCCAGTCAGTGCTGCCCCCTCCAGTGAGTAAATGGAACTGCAGACAGCCAGACAAAACCACTTTCTGATATTCAATATTATCATCAATGCTCCGAGTAGAAGTTGCCCCTAATAACAGATCAAGAATCAGCTCCCCAAATACCAACCTTAGCCATTTGAAGAAAACAACTGACCTTGGATCAGTGTCTAGGGGCAACTTCATATGACTCCACAGTGAATATCAGTGACCGCTGCTGGGCTCTGTCTCCCTCTGCAGGCTGGAGGGAGTGTATGGGGGTGAAAACTCCAAGCAGGAACAAGGAGGCTTTGGTCAGGAGACTGTTGGAGCAGACCAGAGAGCCACACTACAGGGGATACTGTATAGGTAATGTACTTCTTCAACCATAACATAGATACAGCATCTCAGTTCCACCTCTCATACAAGGGGAATGAATATACTATTCAAATGATTTGTGTAAGATAAACAGCCTTGTACATTCAATACCTGTATAATAAATGAGAAGGTAAACAGGATCAGTCACTCAAAATAATACTCTGGCTCTTTCACATGGCCCTCCATGTCTGTATGTCTCATTCCTTTGTCCTGTGGACCATAGAGAGCTCGAAGTCCCAGAGCCACAGAAAGCGCCTGTCAATGTCTCGCGGCCTGAAGCAGCTCTTCCAGTCAGCCACCAAGTTTGTCCGTCTCCTACAGAGGTGAGACAGCAATGCTCCTCACCCAACAACTCTGTCTCTCTACCACTAACATCTCACATGGTTACATTTAGAGAAAGATTACACTCTGTTTCTGTTCCCTCAGTACATCCCCTACTCTTTGAACAAGGGTTTCAGTCCCTTTCAGCCCTCTCTTTCTTGCACCTACCTCTCTATTCAGATTTTTTCTGTCTTCCCTCCTTAGGATGAAACTAATCTTATTCTCTCCTCTGTTCTTCCTCATTGTCTCATTGTTAGGGGTGTATACCTGGCAACTGTGTTCTACAACAAGGAAAACATCCTGGTCACAGCAGATGACCAGCTCCCATTGGTGGAGATCCAGTGCTGCTCCACCTCCATCACTCAGGACTTCCTTTGGTTCGCCAAGGTTAGCTGTCAATCAAATTGAATACATTGGTATGTAAACCTGTGTGAAATATATGTTCCAAAGTTACATTGTCTCTTTTCTATCTTTCTATCCCTCGCTCTCTTTCTTACAGTTGTCCTGTGCGTGGCAACAGGTGCCCTGGCTCCAGCAGGCCCTCTCCTCCGCTCTCTCCTCCTCTTCATCACTCCTTCAGAACAGGCACAATATCTTGCAGGCTGTAGCACAACTACAGGTGATTTTTTTTTATAATTTACACTAATAGGTCACTGTACATGGCCTTCTCATCAAACAAGCACCTAGCAAAGATGAAGAGACAACATTTTCTGTAAACTTTCTCTTTCACTGCCTGTTTCTCGTTGACTTTCCTTTTCACTCTTTCTCTTTATCCTGATATTTCATACTTTTCTCCCTCTCTCCTTCCCTGCCTCTCTCTGCAGTCCTCTCTGGGGACAGTAGACTTGGGGCAGGTGTACTATGAGCCTCTGAAGGACAGGCAGGGTAACGTTCTGCTGGTGACGGTGAGGGATTGTGCGGCCCACACCAAACCCCCTGACCCCCCTCTCCACTGGGTCCCCCTGGCTTTGCTGGAGAAGAAACAGAGCAGGACCCCTCTACTCCCAGAGCCTACTGCCATGGACACCCTCACAGAGCAGCTCAAGGTGACCCTTCCTGGCTGGGCCACTATGTGCTTGTGTTTATATACAGTAGTAAGGCTTCTTATTGTGCTAATACAACAATGCCTTTCTCTGTGTCCCTCACCAGGAGAAGCTGTCCTTCCACAGACGCAGTGTCCAGTGGGCCCAGCCTGGCCTGTACGTGGGCATCTTGAAGCTGTGCAGCACAGTGGAGCAGATCAGGGTTCTAGTGCCCCAGAGGCTGCCCAACCTGCTATGCCACGCCAGAGTGCGCCACAATCCCCATGTGTCCCGGTAACACAGCTAACACACTACCACTGAGCTTACCACTGAGTTTAGTATGCACTACTGCGTAAAGACTGACTTTTAAACTGTTCTGACCTGGTATAGCTGATGATGAAATGGAATACTGTATAATACTTATAATGAAGTGTGTCCTCAATGTTTGCCTAGTGTTTTTAAGGATTACTGACTGATCAAATCAGGTCATTGCAAATGATAGTTCCTTGTGATGTGTTTTGGGCTGCATTTTTGTTTTAGAGATGAATGGGCGTGGTTACAATGCCACAACATCTTAACAGCCAATGAGGACACAGAGGGTGAGGATGAGACCTCGATGGACAGCTCTGGGCTGGGGGAGTTTGTGAGGTCACTCAGGGCCGCTGTCACTCTCTTGTTGACAAAGCTCAACATCCCCCTCTACAGGGTAACCATGGTTTCACTTACTCTCCAACTCACATGCTTTTAGATCTCATTTAAATGATATACTGTATCATGTCATACACCTCTCTTACCTCTTTTTGTCTTCTCTCTCTATTATTTTCTTTTTTCTTTTTCTCTCTCTTGATGTTCTTCATCTCTTGTCCTCATCCTCTGATCATCACTCCTTTCTCCCTGCTCTCCTCTCCTGCAGGCATATCAGTACGGTGTGTACACCCGGGAACTGCTGCAGTTTGGGGATAAGATGTCCATGCTGCTCCTGCTGCCCCCCAGTGAGGACTTCAGCTCTAGCTACTGGCCCCTAGTTGGCACCAAGGAGCCAGGCCTCACAATGCCACTGCAGATCTTTGAGCTGGGTAAGTATTGGTGCCAGGGTTTAAGTTTCAAGTTTTTATTGTCATGCGCAATAGTTCTTGCTTGCTCTTTCCCAACAATGCAGTAATCAATATCAGTAGTACTATACAAAAATAAATACAATGTAAAGTAGAATATACAGGGTCAGTTCCTTGGTCAGTGCCATTACCATATTTACAATGTGCAGGGATACTGGAGTGGTAGGGTTAGATATGTATAGGGTTAAGGTGACTAGGCATCAGGATATATGATAAACAGAGTAGCAGCAGCATATATGATGATTGTATGTGAGTGTGTGTGCGTGTGTGTAGAGTTAGTATGAATGTACACTACCGTTCAAAAGTTTGGGGTCACTTAGAATTGTCCTTGTTTTCGAAAAGAAAAGCAATTTTTTTGTCCATTAAAATAACATCAAATTGATCAGAAATAAATTTTAGACATTGTTAATGTTGTAAATGGCTATTGTAGCTGGAAACGGCTGATTTTTAATGGAATATCTACATAAGCGTACAGAGGCCCATTATCAGCAACCATCAGTCCTGTGTTCCAATGGCACGTTGTGTTTGCTAATCCAAGTTTATCATTTTAAAAGGCTAATTGATCATTAGAAAACCAATTTGCAATTATGTTAGCACAGCTGAAAACTGTGCTCAACGTCAACAGTGAAGAAGCGACTCCGGGATGCTGACCTTCTAGGCAGAGTTGCAAAGAAAAAGCCATATCTCAGACTGGCCAATAAAAATAAAAGATTAAGATGGGCAGTCTGAGATATGGCTTTTTCTTTGCAACTCTGCCTAGAAGGTCAGTATCCTAGAGTCGCCTCTTCACTGTTGATGTTGAGACTGGTGTTTTGCGGGTACTATTTAATGAAGCTGCCAGTTGAGGACCTGTGAGGCGCCTGTTTCTCAAACTAGACACTAATGTATTTGTCCTCTTGCTCAGTTGTACACCGGGGCCTCCCACTCCTCTTTCTATTCTGTTTAGAGCCAGTTTGCGCTGTTCTGTGAAGGGAGTAGTACACAGTGTTGTACGAGATCTTCAGTTTCTTGGCAATTTCTCGCATGGAATAGCCTTCATTTCTCAGAACAAGAATAGACTGACGCGTTTCAGAAGAAAGTTATTTGTTTCTGGCCATTTTGAGCCTGTAATCGAACCCACAATTGCTGATGCTCCAGATACTCAACTAGTCTCAAGAAGGCCAGTTTTATTGCTTCTTTAATCAGCACAACAGTTTTCAGCTGTGCTAACATAATTGCAAAATGGTTTTCTAATGATCAATTAGCCTTTTGAAATGATAAACTTGTATTAGCAAACACAACGTGCCATTGGAACACAGGACTGATGGTTGCTGATAATGGGCCTCTGTATGCCTATGTAGATATTCCATAAAAAATCAGCAGTTTCCAGCTACAATAGCCATTTACAACATGAACAATGTCGGCACTGTATTTCTGATCAATTTGCTGTTATTTTAATGGACAAAAATTTTTTAATGGACATTTCTAAGTGACCCCAAACTTTTGAACGGTAGTGTATGTGCGTGTTATGTGAGCAAATGAAGTGTGTGTGTGTGTGCGCTTGACGTGCGGAAGTAGAGAGAACAGTCTATGTGTTGGGTGGCTGGAGTCTTTAATGATTTTCCGAGCCTTCCTTTCACACCGCCTGATATAGAGGTACTGGATGGCAGGCAGCTCTGCCCCAGTGATGTACTGGGCTGTCCGCACCACCCTCTGTAGCGCCATGTGATCGAGGGCAGTGTAGTTGCCATACCAAGCAGTGATGCAGCCAGTCAAGATGCTCACAATTGTGCAGCTGTAGAACTTTTTGATGATTTGAGGGCCCATGCCAAATCTTTTCAACCTCCTGAGGGGGAAGAGGCGCTGTCACGCCTTCTTCACGACTGTTTGTGTGTGTGTGGTCCATTTTAAGTTCCAGAGGAACTTGAAGCTCTCGACCCGCTCCACTGCAGCCCTGTCTCGATGTGGATGAGGGCGTGCTCGCCCTCCCGTTTCCTGTAGTCCACAATTAGCTCCTTGGTCTTCTTGACGTTGAGGGAGAGGTGCATGGACAACATAGAGAATATAAGATGTGTTATGCCGTTTATGTTTTTGCTCAGAGGAAACTGTCGGTGGTCAGTTGATGTGCTTAGATGTTTCTCTTTATTTTCTGTCTAATCCTCACGTCTCACAGTGCACTTCTGGACGTACGAGCAAGACTTCCTGTCTCAGTACTGTCAGGTCTGGGTTCGGTTGGAGCTGGACGCCCATCTGTCCCAGCAGGCTTTGCGAGAAGCTCTGGACACTAAGGAGGTGCAGGAGGCCAGAGGCCGTCTTGGTCACATCACTCAGCTCTCACAGGTAGACTACCCATAGAGAGTCATGAAATAGATATCAAAGGAGGACAGTATGTGTGTATGAGAGGGAATAAGCCCTCTATTAGAACTCTCACCCATGCCTCTCTGTCCCTTTGCCCTGTTTAGAGTCTTGAGGTGGTGTGGCGCGAGGCCCGGTGGATCATGGATGTCCTGCAGTGTGTCCGCTCTAAACAGTGGGTGGGGGCGGTGCCTCTGGGCCTGGTCATGGGAGGAGACCCACCTGCCCACCCAGACGATGAGGAGGATGACAGGCCTACCACCAGAGTCTGGCCCCAGCGCATACTCTCTCAAAAGAAAATATCAGGTGACTTGTTAATGTAGTAGATGTAGTTGATGAATGATTCAATGTATTTGATTGAAGCATTAGAGAGCAGGCAAGGGTGAGAAGAAAATCATTTTATATTGTGATGCACTTAATTCCTCAGTTTAATATTCAGGTACTTCCTTTGTCCGTTTGACGTAACTAACTCTCATTTCTGTTGGCCCTCTCCTCTCACTCCCTCTAGAGAGCATTACATGTACTGTTACAGACATTGGTGTCAGCGGTGGGATCTCTGAGCCAATATTTATCCCGGGGGTCCATGAAGAGGCTGTCTGTTTAATGGAAGGGACTAGCAAAGGTGGGTACCCCGTGGACCTCAGTGCCCAACAGCCTATTGTGGCGTTCAACAGCCTGGACCAATCAGGAGTTGGATTCGACGGTGTGACCCAATCAGAAGTGGTAGATCATGACAGTGGAGAACTGGAGTATCCCCACAGTTTTGTCAGTGATGTGATCCCACCTCTACCAGAGCTGGACCTCATCTTCCCCACACTGAGTCTGATAGACGAAGAGAGGAAGGAGGACCCTGTACCTGGGGGGATGGATATGTTAGACAGCTTAAGTCTTGGAGTCGGTGAAAGCGAGGCTTTCTTTGGACTAAACTCTGACTTGATGAGTGGACCTAAGGGTTGCTCTCTCTCTGATGTGCATCATGATACGAACACACTGACAGCAGGCCTTAGTTTAGGAGACAGAACCTGTGCAGATACACTGTTCTCAAGTCATTTAGATGGGCTGGCCACATCTGCCCCTTCTCCCATTGTGAGGACCACACCTGCCCAAAGCTGGGATTTACCTACAGAGGACACTGTGATACATGCTGGCAACAGGGGGAGCAGCATGCCAGCCAGGAGCCATGTGGAGTGGGTGAACTCCTCTAACCAGGCATCCTGATGTATCCAGATATTGTTATGACTGAACGTTACACCAAAATACAACCAATTCTCAACAAATTCTTAATAAACTTTCAGTGCCTTTAAGCAGGTGTGGCAACCGATGGGATATTCATGGTTGTTTTCTCATCACATTATCTTACTCTCTGTAGTTGTTCCAGTGGTGAAATCACTTCATGCACACCAACCACTACAATGTAGAATTCATTTCAAAATTGTCGCACAACATATTCAAAACATGGGGCAAGGATGAAACTCACAAATATGACCTGGTATCCCACAGCTGTAGACACAAAACTGTTCGCTGCTCTGGCACCCCAATGGTGGAACAAGCTCCCTCACGACGCCAGGACAGCGGAGTCACTCACCACCTTCCGGAGACATTTCAAACCCCACCTCTTTAAGGAATACCTGGGATAGGCTAAAGTATTCCTTCTAACCCCCCCCCACCCCCCCCCCCCCCCCCCCCAAATTGTAAAGTGGTTATCCCACTGGCTATAGGGTGAACGCACCAATTTGTGAGTCGCTCTGGCTAAGAGCGTCTGCTAAATGACGTTAATGTGCCCTTGAGCAAGGCACTTAACCCTAATTGCTCCTGTAAGTCGCTCTGGTTAAGAGCGTCTGCTAAATGACTAAAATGTAAAAATGTAATTCCCAGCTGAATTGTTGTGTGTATTTGTAATGGGGAATTATTTGATTAATTTGTCTCCTGTATTTGATTTACTGTAACTAAGTACTGATGTTCCTACCTTTGACCTGTTTAACTGCCAGTATCAAATGTCTGCCAGTATTGAATGTTATGGTTAAAGTTTGATGCCACACTGAGCCTGAAGCCGCTGATGTTGTGTCTTCCTCCCAGCCTCTCAGGCTGGTGTTTACAGAACATTTGGTACTGTCGGATTAGAATATAAAGGGCCTGTCTCCAAGAGACCCGCTATACATTTTCTGTGCTTCTGTACACGAGATGTCTCCCTGTTGCAACTTGTATTAACCTGAATAGATTTATGATTGACTATATCCACAACTTGCTCTTCTCTTTTGTTCAACTGAAAATACTCTTTACAGTATTTTTCTCTATTAACCTGTTTGTAATTTTGTCCTTTTAACACACAACTAGCTAGTCTACAGTAAAATCAGTTGAATGGTTTATCTTCATGAAATTACCCAAAAAATATATTTTCAGCTGTATTTGTGTTGTTCCACATTTTATTAACAAGACAAAGGGTTAGCTATCTTTTTTTACATTATCCTTTTCAGAAACGTATGTGTATTTGAAAAGAATACATAGGCCAACTGGGTATTAAGGTGAGGATATGTGTGAGGATATCAATTCAAAATGCCAATATTAAAGGTCCAATGGAAACGTTTTTATCTCAATATCAAATCATTTCTGGGTAACAATTAAGTACCTTACTATTTCTCAAGCAAGAATTTTGCTAGGACTGTCTGGGAGTGGTCTGTGGGGAGGGGGAAATGGAAAATAAGATGTTATTGGCAGAGAGGTTTGGAACTCTCTTTCTTATTGGTCTATTAACTAATTTACCACACAGTGATGTCACCATGGAAGGCCATCCCACAAAAACAAGCAGAAATTTCAGGCAATCTTTTCAAACAGCTCATACACTAAAATGGCATTATCATCATTTTCACAGTATTATTCCAAAGTCTTAGTGTGGAAATATACACTCAGTGGCCAGTTTATCAGGTTTATTAGGCATCTAGTGTACCCCCTTTGCTTACAGAAAAGCCTGAATACTTTGGGACATGGAAACGTTGCTCAATTGGTATCATGGGACCTAACGTGTGCCAGGTAAACATTCCCCACACCATTACACCACCAGCCTGTACCATTGACACCAGGCAGGATGGTGCCATGGACTCATGCTGCTTACGCCAAATCCTGACTCTGCCATCAGCATGACTGTCCAGTGTTGTTGATCGCGTGCCCACTGGAGCCGCTTCCTCTTGTTTTTAGCTGATAGGAGTGGAACCCGGTGTGGTCATCTGCTGCAATAGTCGATCCGTGTCAAGGGCCGACAAGTTGTGCATTCCGAGATGCCGTTCTGCACACCACTGTTGTACTGTGCCGTTATTTATCTGTTTGTGGACTGCCTGTTAGCTTGCACGATTCTTGCCATTCTCCTTCGATCTCTCTCATCAACTAGCTGTTTTTGCCCACAGGACTGCATGTTTTATTTTGTTGCACCATTCTCGGTAAACCCTAGACACTGTTGTGTGTGAAAAGCCCAGGAGGGCGGATGTTTCTGAGATACTGGATCCGGCGCGCCTGGCACCGACGATCATACCACACTCAGTCACTTAAGTCACTCGTTTTGCCCATTCTAACGTTCAATCGAACAGTACCTGAATGCCTCGATGCCTGTCTGCCTGCTTTATATAGCAAGCCACGGTCACTTTACTCGCTGTCTGTAGGAGCGATACATTTTCGTGAACGGGTGGTGTACCTATATATGTATATAAAACACAGGAAAAGTAGTAGTGGGTGAATTCAGAATAAGTGGAACACATTTTGTCTCCTGTAACCTCTTTCGGCATCTATCCAACACATTAACCCAACAATGCCCAACACATGATACATGTCTAAAATCCTCAAGATGTTTCCTAATCACACAAAAAAACTAATGTTGATATCATATTCACAGGAGGTATGACACACACATTTGTCAAAACAAAACAATTGGGACAGCAGGTTAGATAAACTGCGACACCATTATTATAGTCCTAATTGTACCCCAATGACAATTCAATAAAACTTTGCATGATTAGGAAACATCTGAGGATTTCAGAAATGTATCATGTGTTAAGCTAATATGTTGGATAGATGTCTGAAGAGTTTACAGAAGTCGAAATGCAAAACATTTCCCACTTTTTCTGAATTCACTCAAATAACAGTACTACAAGACATAATTAACAGGATATAGTACTAGAAGAACCAGAGCCCTGCCTAACCTAAGTACAGGGGGTCCCTAATGTAAACTGGATCTCTTTCGTCCATTGGAAAAGCCTTTAAGACTGTCCCACTTTAGCTACTCCATGCTGTCCTACTTTAGATGGGCATCCGGACTATTTACATTGACACCCCCCCCCCCCCCCCCCCTTTGTTTTTACACTGCTGCTACTCGCTGTTTATTATCTATGCATAGTTACTTTACCCCTACCTACATGTACAAATTACCTCAACTAACCTGTACCCCCGCACATTGACTCAGTACCGGTACCCCTGTCACATCTACTCCTGCTCCTCCCCTCCGGCCGGAATACTAACCACCGGTCCTGGGATTCATCATTATGCACACCTGGCATCCATCATTACGCGCACCTGCAGAGCATTATGATTCACACCTGGACTCCATTACCTTCCTCATTATCTCCCCTTTACAGTGGGGAAAAAAAGTGTTTAGTCAGCCACCAATTGTGCAAGTTCTCCCACTTAAAAAGATGAGAGAGGCCTGTAATTTTCATCATAGGTACACGTCAACTATGACAGACAAAATGAGAAACAAAATCCAGAAAATCACATTGTAAGACTTTTAATGAATTTATTTGCAAATTATGGTGGAAAATAAGTATTTGGTCAATAACAAAAGTTTCTCAATACTTTGTTATATACCCTTTGTTGGCAATGACACAGGTCAAACGTTTTCTGTAAGTCTTCACAAGGTTTTCACACACTGTTGCTGGTATTTTGGCCCATTCCTCCATGCAGATCTCCTCTAGAGCAGTGATGTTTTGGGGCTGTCGCTGGGCAACACAGACTTTCAACTCCCTCCAAAGATTTTCTATGGGGTTGAGATCTGGAGACTGGCTAGGCCACTCCAGGACCTTGAAATGCTTCTTACGAAGCCACTCCTTCGTTGCCCGGGCGGTGTGTTTGGGATCATTGTCATGCTGAAAGACCCAGCCACGTTTCATCTTCAATGCCCTTACTGATGGAAGGAGGTTTTCACTCAAAATCTCACGATACATGGCCCCATTCATTCTTTCCTTTACACGGATCAGTCGTCCTGGTCCCTTTGCAGAAAAACAGCCCCAAAGCATGATGTTTCCACCCCCATGCTTCACAGTAGGTATGGTGTTCTTTGGATGCAACTTAGCATTCTTTGTCCTCAACGACGAGTTGAGTTTTTACCAAAAAGTTCTATTTTGGTTTCATCTGACCATATGACATTCTCCCAATCCTCTTCTGGATCATCCAAATGCACTCTAGCAAACTTCAGACGGGCCTGGACATGTACTGGCTTAAGCAGGAGGACACGTCTGGCACTGCAGGATTTGAGTCCCTGGCGGCGTAGTGTGTTACTGATGGTAGGCTTTGTTACTTTGGTCCCAGCTCTCTGCAGGTCATTCACTAGGTCCCCCCGATTTTTGCTCACCGTTCTTGTGATCATTTTGACCCCACGGGGTGAGATCTTGCGTGGAGCCCCAGATCGAGGGAGATTATCAGTGGTCTTGTATGTCTTCCATTTCCTAATAATTGCTCCCACAGTTGATTTCTTCAAACCAAGCTGCTTACCTATTGCAGATTCAGTCTTCCCAGCCTGGTGCAGGTCTACAATTTTGTTTCTGGTGTCCTTTGACAGCTCTTTGGTCTTGGCCATAGTGGAGTTTGGAGTGTGACTGTTTGAGGTTGTGGACAGGTGTCTTTTATACTGATAACAAGTTCAAACAGGTGCCATTAATACAGGTAACGAGTGGAGGACAGAGGAGCCTCTTAAATAAGAAGGTACAGGTCTGTGAGAGCCAGAAATCTTGCTTGTTTGTAGGTGACCAAATACTTATTTTCCACCATAATTTGCAAATAAATTCATAAAAAATCCTACAATGTGATTTTCTGGAGAAAAAAATTCTCAATTTGCCTGTCATAGTTGACGTGTACCTATGATGAAAATTACAGGCCTCTCTCATCTTTTTAAGTGGGAGAACTTGCACAATTGGTGGCTGACTAAATACTTTTTCCCCCACTGTATATGTCCCTCCCTT